CCTTGTTCCGACCTTCCGGGGGAAAAAAAAATGCTGCGTCAGTCCAACAATTTACAGATTGAACTGGAACAAGTCGCACAGCCAAGAGTGGAATGTCAAGGAAAAAGAAAAGTACAGAAGACAAAAGGATTAAGAAGCAAAAAAAAAAAAACAAAAAAAAAAACAAGGGAACGAGGGAAAATATATGGAAAAAGGAAAGGAAAAGGGTGGAAATAATAAAGATGAAAGACAAGGAATGATGAGGAAAGGACAGAAAATGAGGGAATGAAAGGAAGTTACAAGGAGGAATGAAATGCGTGAGAAACAAGAGGAAAAGAAAAAAGATAAAAATAAAAGAGAAAACAAATGGAACAAGCAAATACTTGGAGGGGAAAAAAGGCAAGAGAGAGAGAGAAATAAGTTAAAGAAGAGAATAGGAAAGGAAAGAAACCGACTACTAATAATGACGTAAAGGAAGAGCAAATGAACTTATCAGAAAGCAAGTCATAAAAAGCTTGGGGGAAGGAAATGAATAAAAAAGAAAATGATAGGAAGAAGGGGATGTGAAAATGTAAAAAAAAAGAAAGAACAGACAAAGAAAGGGATAAAATGAATTTAAATGAAATGAAAATAAAATTGTGCAAAAAAAGAGGAAAGCAAACCAACAAATTAAAAACTGAGGCAAAGAACAGTGCGTGTGAGGAAATGAAATGTATGGAAAAAGAAAGAAGCAAAAATACTGTAATGAGGAAAAATAGAACAAATGAATGAAATGCTGGATCAGAGACAAGTTGTATCAAAAAACAGAAATGACAGAAAAATAAAATAAAAAATTGAGAAATGGAAGCAGGAGAAAAGATGAGACGGAAAGATAGGGAGGAATAAAGAAAATGATGATGAAGAACAAGAAATAAAAGGTCTAAAGGTGAAGAAATTTAAAAAAGGCAAAGGATGAAAGGAAATGGGAAGGGGAGGAAATAGAGTGCAGTTCCATTTTGGTTGCCATGGCAACTGAAAGTTCAGACCTTCCTCGAGAGGCCATCTTTGCTCATCCACTGCACACATAAGAGCGAGAACAAAAACTCCTCCTCCTCCTCCTCCTCCTCCTCCACCTCATCATCATGGTCATGATAGCATTTGCTAACTTGTCCAACAGTCGCGAGTAAGCGCACTTGCTAATAACCGACACGCTCATTTGCATTCTCGACCATTAGCGCAAATGTCAATGGTGCTCCCGCCCGCCTCTCTGGTTTATGTCATCCCTCCTTCTCTGAACTTTCAATTTCAGCAGCTACCCAATGGAAATACATCCATAATACATCTTTGGATTGATCTGTTTACGTTTTTTTTTTTAATAGTTATTATTGACTATGGAATAATTGTGTTGCACAACTTGTTTTATTGCAGCTAGTGCCACTTTGCGGTGCCTTGAAATGATTTTGTGAGGGATTCAGTCATTTTTCTCAGAAATGGATGGATGAAATCGAGCTGGCTAACACACAACAGAAGCAAGTGGCAAATACCGAATTAATTTCGGGAGTTGCTTTTTAAAAACAATAAAATTAAGACTTATAAGAGGGATCAGAAAAGTGACTAGCTTTTGTAAAGTAGCTCCTCTCTGTCCGCAACCATGTGGTTAGGATAAGCAGTGCAGATAATTGAACTGCAGAAGTTGTCAAAATAAATCCATTAAGTCTCGAGCCCTAATCAGCAACAAATTGTCTCATTTGACGTCTTTTCACACAGATGCAATACATTTTAAATTCAGGCATTCACACAGTGGGGTCTGCTTGACATGATGAGTTCAGGGTCTGGGGATTAAAGCAGTTTTGGGGGGGCTTGGAGAGGCTGACATGTAGTGTGTACGTGTGTGTGTGTGCGTGTGTGTGTGTGTGTGTGTGTGTGTGTGCGTGTGTGTGTGTGTGTGTGTGTGTGTGTGCGTGTGTGTGTGTGTGTGTGTGTGTGTGTGATGGGGGGGACTGGCAGGTGTTTGGAACATCTCCTCATTGATCTTTAAGACCTTCACTTCTTTATGTGACGTTTGCCGTGATTTATGAGCTGCAGGCGGTCATTTGGATCATGCACAGACCACTGACAGTGGTCTAGCGCGCGCCCATGCACACACGCACACGCGCGCACACAGACACACGCACGCACGCACGCACACACACACACACACACACACACACACACACACACACACACACACACACACACACACACACACACACATATATAC